AATGTATTCGCTCAGCCCTAAATAGAGCAACTCAGCTTTCAGACATTGCCATGCTCAGCAATTTCTCTGCACATGGGAACTGGAAACCAAAGTGCATTTTCCCTCTAACTGATCTACTGTTAATCATTTTCTTTCTCCCACAGATTGTTGAGGTGACTCTTCTAATTGCCAGCTATATTAACTACTGTGCACTGACTCCCCTCCTGTCTCCTGCACCTCCTTCTCTGAGCATCATCTCGCCTATGAGCACAACGCCAACTAAAAAGCTCTGGGAGGCTCAAAGCCAGTGTTTCTTTCCTTCCATGCCCCGTACTACCAAGGGGCCTACACTGCTCTGAGTGCTTGTTCTCAGTGCCTTTGGGTTTCAGTGTTGTTGTGGGCAAGCTGCCCAATTTTGAGTTGAGGACTGCTGTGATTTTGCTGTTTATGTATCCTGTTTTAATGCAGACTCCAGTTCTCTCTCCTTAGTGTGGTATGAAGTATGTTTAGAGGTAATATTCTTTCTTTTCTAAAGACTAGATTTTGGGGTCTGTCCACATTTCTTCTCTCTGCTACATGCTATCCTAAACACTGTGGCTAAGGTCATCTTCTCTACTTGCTGCTCCAATCACGTCACTCCCTCTGAATCTCTTCACTTGCTTTTGCACTCCTTCCATCGTAGGGTTGGTTGGACATATTCCTGGAGTTTTCATCACAAGATGTAATCTTTAATTAAAGATTAATCTTTAAATTCCTGGAGGCTCCAGGACAATCCTGGAGGGTTGGCAACCGTACTTCCATATCATGTTCAAGCTGCTCTTACAAGCATGTCCCTTCCCATTCTGGGCTTTACACCTTGTCTCAGGTCACCATTCCCTATGCCTAGAAACTGTCTTCCACTTCTTGCACTCCTTGTGAGCTCTCTTGTATCCTTAACACATCCCTTTTCAGTAGCTTTTCACCATTCGTCTCCTGACAGATGCTGTCTGTCCACTTCACTTTTGAATCATTAACTTACCTGTCCTTCACCTGAATTAGACTGTAAGCAACTTGGGCAAGGGACTTTGACTTTTGTGTGTTTCAAGCATAATACACAGTGATGAGAATTGTGGTATGAGCCTTGTGCAAGGATACTTCATACTGAATACGGCCAGTATGCCAAATTTTATATTCCTGGATCAGAAAATACATGCACCTAAACAGGGCAATTACCAGAGTGTAAAGAGAAATATAATGGAGCTTTATAGTGACCCTATCATGTAGTTTAGGTACAATATTAACCCTATGCTCTGGTGAATGTCCTCCATGTTCCAAAGACTTTCCGATGGTGTTCAAATTCACTATTGCCAACCCCAAAACAACAGGTAAAATGGCCAGTCTTTCTGTATGACCTACAATATTTTGTACTGTGCTGCTGAATATGCATGCAAACCAAGACTACAAGTGAACTTAACCCCACAGCTGTGCTGACACCTCAATGTGATCGGTGCTCAGATTCAAAAGCTGATGCAGCCAAGAGCCTGTATTTACCTGTGGTCTAAGAAAGACATGGAAAGGGAAAAAATAAAGTTGACTAGATGGAAGTCTAGATGGAAGCTAAGCTGACAAGCAAATAAATGTCATAGTCTATCTTTGAAAAGAGCATATTATAGAGAAAAGGGAGAGTTTAATACTACTTTAAAATAAAGGACAAGGCAATTTTGTTTTAGTAAAATTAGGGCAGAAATGTGGCAACATCTCGGCATTTTGAGAACTTAGTAAACAGTGAATAGGGCTGGAACAGATGTCTGACGATGTCCTTACTCCTGCAGGACTGAGGTACCATAGAATGCCATGCTGGTCTATATAATGGACAAAAAGCTAGGTCTCCACCACAGGGCTGTATTTATCTTGCACAGTCCCCTGCCAGACATATGCTTTCAAAGAATCTTGGTGTTCACCACTATATTGTATGTATTTCAGGATGTGTTCACTACTGTATAACATTACTGCACGTGATCTCTATGAATTGGGATGGCAAGGCAAATGAGTTTTGTATTTATAATGTCGTCCAGCAACTGGTGTAGTTTTTAGAAAGAGCTAGACCACACTAATTTCATAGGTGCGGTTACTTCCAAACCCCAGCTTCCACCATACCATTAGCGTAAGGGGAAGTGGCTAGCAATTATATTCACAAATACTGTCCTTCAGGCCTTCCTAAATAGTGCTGTTTCACCAGTCCCAAAGTCGGAAGGGTCAAAATGTGAATTTTTTTGTAGAGGTTTCACATAGATTTTTTTTTAAATTGTTCTTCAAAGACACAAATCTACCTAGCTAGGTTTTATACTGTGCTCATCAATCTTCTAGCTTTCTAAAAAAATTTTAAAAAAAATTGTCATTTCCCCAGCAGCCACGAACAACCCTATAACAAACTATGTGCACTGCCTAGCTGACATGGGCACCCCACCAAAAGAATCCAGCCCCCATGGCAGTTCTACAATAACAAACCTGTTCTTCCAGCCCAGCATTCACAATGAGCAAACTGTTTTGTTATTGTCAATGTACTTAACCTTGTGCCCATCGGCAACCTGGCAAACCAGCGTATACAACCCAGCACACTACAAGCAACCTTACAACAACAAGCCAGTGTATACAAGGAGGACATTACAGAAAGGAAACAGGTTTCAATTTCAAGCTTCCAATGACTAGTTAGGCACAAATAGTGAAGAGCATGGAACTGGGAAAATTATTTTGTATGATTCTAAGCAATTCCTTGACAGAATCCTTTTAGGGCTTTAAAATATAGAAAGCCTGGTGTGCTGGTGAAAGTTAATGTGCCAGAAACAGCAAGCTGGAGCTGATAAATCCTGGAGACCTGATTTGCACATACTGTAATTTACCCACTTCTCACGTGTTCGGGGACTTCCCCATCACACTGTTGAGATGAGCTGAGGGTTTTCTGAGTCAAAGAATAATTTTGACAAAGTTTTGATTTTTAGTCTTTTAAAAGTTGCAGATATAGTCAAAAAAGTGACTACATATCTTGACATTGTGGTCTCCGGTATTTATTCTCTCTCTGTAATCCCAGTACAAATGTGCCAATTTGAGTCAAATAGGGTTGTTGTTTTTTTCAATTTCCTGCACTGCAACAAAGATTCTTCAGTCTGAATTGAGCTGTTACTTGTGTTAATGATGCACAAAGCCCTACTTGTTATATTAATGATTTGACTCACACACAAGAAGCAGAGAAGTTGAGTAAGAAGGGGTCCATTTTTACTGTCATTTTTCTGACCATAACTGCACTTTAAACTTGACAGCATGCCATGTTGATCCTTTAGGCATTAGATCTTGTGAACATTCACCAATACTTGAGCATTTCAGGGAACACCCCCACTTTGGTGAATGCCACCATATACCTCTTATTTATAGCTTACCTGACTTCAGAAAACTGTGTAGATAGCTTAACTATTTTTTTGATTCCTTGGTAGAGAATTTAATTTTTTATTTTCATCAACACTCTTGGCAATGACTGGACATTTTCTAAAGTGTAGAATGAGATACTGAATGACAGAAGCCTAACTGCTGTGCTGTATGTAAAAGGATAACTGTGAGATACTGTGAGATTTTGTTTTTGTTCTTAATAAAATGCAGTTGTCAGTGACTCAAACTGTGTTTGTTTCATTATATCATAATCAGCATTTCAGTAGCAGTTTGATGTCAAATTGTGACTTAATTGTGACTTTTAGGAGCCAAAACCAGCCTGGATGCAAGTAGGTATGTTAAAAAGATGGCCTTACTTCCCTTGGCTTCTGGGCATGCACTTGCTTCAACTTTCCCATTCCGACCCAATGTTTCTCTCTGGTGGGCCTCCAGCTCTCAGTGCTTGGGGTCACTGAGGTGACTTAGGCCTCCAGCTAAAGAACTCCACCCCTTCTGGCATTAAAAAACAACTTTCCAGCACTCTTCAGACTAGGTAGTTCTTCCTGTTCACTCAGCGGGCACCCTCACAGAGCCACATAGTACCTTCACCCTCACTGGGCTATAAGTCCTCTTCTACCACCTTCCTGGGCTCAACAGTCTATTTGCCCTGCTGGCACAAAATCATAGATGGGGGACTTCCTCCCACTTTCAATGAAAGTCCCAGCCTGGACCCCCTAATTGAGCATCAACTCTCTTCAACATCCCTCTGCACTATCCTGCCCAGGTTACTTCCTTCTGACAATGCCCCTCACGGTCTTTCTCTATCCTGTCTCTAGATCTCTCTCAAGTCTTTTTCCATCTCTGTTCTACCCGATGACCTGGCTGTCTCCTGAGGCCTACTACAAAGGAGAAACCACCCCACCTCATACCTTCATTCCCCTCTCTCATGAACCACAGACTGCTTCTTACATAGTCCTGCTAGTCACGTGAGTCCCTAGTCACAGGACCCCAAACAGTCCCTCCTGGGAACTACACTTCCCATGGCTTCCCACTCTTAAAAGGCCAAACCTCAATTATGCCTGGGCTTACAGCACCCACTCTTAAAGGATGCAACTTCATTGAGTTCAGCGGAGTCCAACCAGCTTATGCCAGGGCAGGATTTAGCTCTTAAAGTCTGTACAGCTCCAGGTGTGACTTCAGTAATTAAGACATGAATTAAAGTATGGGTGAGAAACTGAAGCACAGAAAGGTTAAATGGCTTGACCAAGGCCACCCAGAAGTCAGTGGCAGAACCCAGAGCTCTGGCCTTATGTGCTAACAAACAATTAGTCACATGTAATAATACACTTCAGAAAGAAATGCCAATTTAACATTTTCAGAGCCACTGCTATCTTAGCAGCTGGAGCACTGCATACTGACACAACTAGCTCCATTTTTATGCAAATTATGTGTGAGCCACAAGCTTCTGATGAGCTGCTGACATGTCCTTTAGATGGGCAAAGTTTGAGCTGCCCATGTTATATTATAATTATGAAAGCCCCACACCTCTAGGTGATATTAGTTAAAAGTTACAATAATCTTCAGGATATCAATGAGGTACAATACAAATTCACACCATGAAATACTCCCAAGGGCACAAGCCACTAAAAACTTTATTTACACACATTCGCATTACACTATATTATCAGTGGCAAGATTCCCCACACACGCAAGGAGTCCCAGACATTTATAGGTGGCCTTTGCTATCCAAACGAAGTAACCAGTAAACTGTCCAGAAAACAATTAAATGATCACACAAGTTTGGCATTTTCCTGGGCAAGTTTCCTTTCTCTTCGCTCTCCTCAGACCAGAGAACCAGAGCTGTCCTCTTTGCACATCTGCTTGGCTTTGGCCTATTTAGGGACGATACCTCCTTTTTCAAACAAAAGGTTTAAAGAATTTCACAACAAAAATGTAACACAAATATTCACTATATAGGGCATTTGGTTTGTTTGTCCTTTGTGGGTTTATTGGCAATCTAGCCAAGATTGTATTGTATGCTTACCAGAATTTGTTTCAGGATTTATTAAAGGAGTATAAATTTGTTGCATGATCTTCCCATACCCAGTCCCTTCCCTCTGTTGGCAGGGTGGGCAGTGGGGAAGGAAATCCCATCTCTGAGGCTCCAGTCTTGGAAAAATTCTACTAATCTGAGTTGCGTTAATATTTTGGGCAGCCAAGTAAATTTATTATTAACTTTTACATCATCATCTTGGCAGGGATAGATTTTGTGCATGGGCTGAAATTTTTTCCATAACAGTGGATCACCAGCAAGGGCACTAGTAACAACTTCACTTGCTGCTGGATCACAGTCTACATGCATCATCTAGTGAAGGACAACTGCAATATACAATCTATCCTAGTTTGCTGTGAGTTTTCTACCTTGATGAGCTTTTTAGTTTAAAGTTCTGGTGAAGTTTTAAGTCTTCCTCTGCTCCAGGATTTCTTGGCAACTTCGGTATACTTCAACCAGACAGTCTAGACGTGGCTTGGAGCTCTAGAGGTCAAGAAAAAACAGTCAGGCTCTGGGCTGGTTGCTGAACAGTTAAGAGTTTTAATCTTCATCCACAGTAACATTCATCAGATGGAGGAAGGAGTGGGAAGAAGGCTTACACAAAGCAAGCTACCATTGAAAGCAAGGCATCTGCAGTAGATTATTGTCCTGAAGCGAGATGATGACTCTAGAGAGGGAACTCCTCTCCTATGCATACAACTCGAGGTGATCCATCAGGCTCCAAGGAAGGGCTAAAGCAGATTGGAGGGGAATGATTGTATGAGCATAGCCTGTGTTGTATCTGTCCTGTGGTTAGAGGACTTCAGTCCTCAAGGCTGTCAATTCAGTACCTTTAAAGAACAGGACATTCACTTTGTTCTTTAAGTTAATGCAATGTTATGGTTGAGGTTTTAAACACTCAGAGGTTAGAATATTCAAGTTGATGGGTCACACAGAAACTGTAACTTGTATCCTTTGTACATGTAGCATTCTGTATTACTAAATCTGAGCTTTAATTTAATGCCTCAATATACACGTGCAACAGGACAGAGTTACAATTATCACAGGAACCACAACTTTGAACTTCCCAATTTCACCAACAATATGTCAGTAACACTGTTCCATTTTAAAATTCCTTGACTTTTCAGTAATAATATAATAGCAACATTTTTTCAGAAGTTCTCAAAGTGCTTTGTAAACTAATTAAGCCTCACAATACTTTTTCAAAGTAAACATGTATCTTTTTTATTGACGAATAAACTGATTTTATTCAGAGGACTTGTCCAAGTTTACACAATGGGCCAAAATGAATATTGGTATAAGGAGCGGTGATTGCTAAATTCAATGGCTTAATTTGGCCCAGTAAATCAGTGCCAGATGCAGAGAAAAGAAAAAAATGTGACTGCACATTGTAATACATACATGTGTTACAAGTGAAACAGACATATATCGTGAGAGGGTGGGGAACAAATGATGTGATATGAGACAGGGAGCAATCGTTCACTATCAGTACTTGGAGTATTTACAGAGAAACCAGAAAGACCTGGTTGACAGGAGATAGACATACCTCCATAATAAAGAAGGGCACTACTGCAATTGGCTCCCTCTTATACTAATCAAGTGTGGCTTTTAGGTTCCTGGCAAGTTACTAATGAACCTTTGCTAAGCCTCAGTGGTCCTTGGGCTTTAATTATAACTCAGTAAACAGGGGGATGTGGTGAGGTCTCTACAGCTTCTTTTTATTGGCCTTGAACATATATCATACTGAACACTATGAAGCTGGTGTATATAGCATGTAATGCCAAAATGCATTCCACCAAGAGTATTATGTTACTGTTACTTTTTGACATTTTGTTAGTCTGTGCTTCCCAGCCTTGACCCCCTTATAATAAGCCATCAATACCATAGATGCAAAACATCCATGTGGTCCAAATATCACTTATGATGGGGAAACAGAATACTATTACTTACTGGCATTTATAAAGCACCTGTCATCCAAGGACCTCAAAGTACTTTATAAAGATGGTTAAGTGTTATTCTACATACTGCAGATAGGTAAGACTGAAGCACACAGAGGGTGAGAGGATTTTTCACAAAGCAAATCAGTCTCTGACTGCGGAATAAGACCCGGGTGTCCCGATTCTCAGACCCATAACCTAATCATTACCCCCACACTACCTTACATATATTTTTCCTCCTCTATTTACCATGAGAAACAGCTTTCCTCACATTGACCCAATGTACCTGGATCCTGCCTCAGAGGATCTACCTTTAAGAAAGGGGAGTTCAGACTACACAGTCCTTAGCCTCTTCTACTACTGTCCACAAGAGGAAAGGAAGTGGACTGAAACCACCAATTCATTCCACATAATCACTAAATGGCTGTCAAAGGATAATGATTTTCTGTCACTACTGACCTGGATCAGATTAAAGCCAACAGAGAGGTGAAAGGTTCTGTATCCCATTCCTAACCTGAGTCATCTAGTCCCCAGGATTTTATGACTTTTGAGCTCCCAAAACAGCACTGCAGTATGAAGTCCACATAAAAGCTATCTTTGTAAATGCTGCCAATGGCAGCTTGAGAGAACAATAGGTCAGGTCAGTGCAGACGTGTTCAGTCAGATGGTAAATTGTAAACTTTTCTAAAGTTGGCATAGCATAGAGAAATAAAGACCCTGTATAGCAGAGGCAACAAGAGGTTACTGATCCTGTTAAAAGAACAGGAGTACTTGTGGTACCTTAGGCCTGGTCCACACTAACCCCCCACTGGGAACTAAGGTATGCAAATTCAGCTACGTTAATAATGTAGCTGAATTCGAAGTACCTTAGTTCGAACTTACCGCGGGTCCAGACGCGGCAGGCAGGCTCCCCCGTCGATGCCGCGTACTCCTCTCGCCGAGCTGGAGTACCGGCGTCGACGGCGAGCACTTCCGGGATCGATCCCAGAAGATCGATTGCTTACCGCCGGACCCGAAGGTAAGTGTAGACCTACCCTTAGAGACTAACAGATTTATTTAGTCTCTAAGGTGCCACAAGTACTCCTGTTCTTTTGCGGATACAGACTAACAGGGCTGCTACTCTGAAACCTGTTAAAGTATCTGTGAATGCACCCTCAAGTGAGTATGTTAGATTGTCTTAGGTGAGAATTACTGAGGGGTACTGAATTTCAGACTAAAGCAGCCTCTTTCCTAGCTCCTTGGCAGTGAGTGGTTAAAGGAGAATCAAATACAAGTATCAGGGTATACCCTTGAAAGTAGCATTGTTCAGAGTTGGGTGGGTGAGAGAAACCACACCCAAATGCAAGCCTATCCCTTTGTCATTGACAATGAATAGAGGCAGCTAAGATCACAGTCCCATGCCAGGATTCTCGGTGGAGCTGTATGGAATTCACTCATTGCAAGTGACAGGGGTTCCAGCAAATCCTTTTTCTGGCGTTGGATCTGCTGAAGAAGCTTAATACATTAACATTGGTAAGTATCTTTGAGATCTTTGCACATGTTGCTGATGGTAGGCAGCTGAATAGCATTGGCCTGCTAAACCCAGGGTTGTGAGTTCAATCCTTGAGGGGGCCATTTAGGGATCTGGGGCAAAAATCTGTCTGGGGATTGGTCCTGCTTTAAGCAGGGGGTTGGACTAGATGACCTCCTGAGGTCCCTTCCAACCCTGATATTCTATGAAATTGTGTTCAGTAGTGATTCAGAAACCATGGCTAAAACCTGACACTCAGCAGTAGGTAATTTTCACAGGTAGAGAAGGCTGTAGAGTCATTACATTATACAAAGTATACAAAAATTTGTTATTACTATATTTGTACTTCAGTGGCGCCTAGGAACATGAAAGGAAAACCCATTGTGTTAGGCATTGTACAGACACACAGTAAAAAGAAATTCCCAACCCCAAAGAGCTCATAACCTATGTTACGACAAGTCACAACAAGTGGATCATACAAATAAATGGGCAGAGAAGAGAGGAAAGACAAGGTAATGTTAAGCAGAGGTCTCAGCTCACCACTTCTGTTTCAATACCTTTGATTGTCATTGGTTAAAAAAGGGAGAGACAATCCACTTACTTGAGAGTACCTCCTTATCAGAACCTTTGGCTTGGGTAGCTGAGACTCTACTGAGGGCTTGGCTACACTGGCGCTTTACAGCGCTGCAACTTTCTCGCTTAGGGGTGTGAAAAAACTGAGCACAGCAAGTTACAGCGCTGTAAAGCGCCAGCGTAAACAGTGCCCCAGCACTGGGATCTGTTTTCCCAGTGCTGTAAGCTAATCCCTTCGTGGAGGTGGAGTACTTGCAGCGCGACCACACTCACACTTCAAAGCGCTGCCGCGGGAGCGTTCCCGTGGCAGCGCTTTGATGTTTTGAGTGTAGCCACGGCCTCAGACACCAAGGGGTCCCTTTGGTGGCAGCACTGTATAGCGTGAGGATGAGACTACACACACATGCCAGATAAGCAGAGCTTTATGAAACTCAGCAGTCTTGGTTCCTAGGCTGACCTAGCTTTTTCTTGGGTTAAGATTTGCACATCTTCCTATTCCTACTCTGAATCCAGAACGGACTACACGAGAGCCAAAAGTGTTTTCCCAACACTAATTTCTACCGCTCCTGTGGCACCTGCTGTAAAGTGCTGTAGGAATCAAGCTTGCAGACTCCGAGGCACATCTCAGAGAGAGCAGCTGCAATGGGCTGAGTGAGGGATTATGGAATGAAAAGTGCTGAGAACCCTAGTAATACCAACAAACTACAAATCTGGATCTCTCCACAATCCATTTAATTCTCACCTGAAACAGTGGCACCACCTCAGACACCCCATGAGGTTCCCGAGGATCTTGGAGAAGGATGCACAGGTAATAGATAACTTTTTGCTAAAAAACAAAAGCAAAAACCAATAAAACATGAGAATGTTATAAGGGTACCTTAAATTATCAGTGAGAGGGGATCTGTTCCTAACCAAAGTGGCCTGAGGGAAGGGGTAAGGCATATTGAGATGACTCAGTACCAACAACTGATTTAAATGAGGAACAATTTTTGCTTTAAAATGATGTGGTCTCCTCTCATCTCCAAACTGTGTTTTACCTTAGAAATCTCAGGAATGCCCTGTTTTTCTGGGTTTTGCTGGAGGATCTTTTAAGGCTCTTATTGCATAGATATTGTGATCTCTTTCCCTTTAACTGAAAGGGTGATGGTGCTGGATTTTTAACAAAGACATCATTTTTCCAAAATGTTCGTTAGTCACTGTAGTTCAATAGGTATTAACAAAAAGCAAACACAAAAAGTGTTTTAAACGGTCTGACTAAAAATTCCTTCCGCTCTTACCCTTTTGACTCATGATATCATTTTACTGATTCTCCAGTTATCATAGGATTTGTCTTTCCTATAAAATTATATCATGATTGAACAGGATTGTGAAGAATCAAGAAAGGATTTGTCCTGGTCTGCACTGACTACAAAGATGCTGCCAGTGACATCCTGTTAGTAGACTCACTTTTTCACGACTGTGTTCAAACATGGTAACATTTTGTTGTTTAATGCAGCACACAGAGTCTTCCAGACTAATCAGACGTAAATATACTTAAAGCAACAAAAAACAAAAATTTTAAAAGACTTTCAAGCCTTCTTTATCCATCAAAATGAAGGGGAAAAAACCATGTCCAAGCTCAGTTTTTTCTTTTGCAGGTCACGTTTAAGATCTGCACTGCAGTGCTATGAACTCCAAGAGGTTTTCCTGTTCTTTCCTTTCAAGAAGCCAGGTATCTCCTTTCTATACCAATCAACTACAAAAGTGTTCTCTTAAATACTTTTCAGAGGAAAATGGAGTTCCTGCAGCCATTCCACCTACAGCTGAGATCTCTTCATATCTTACAAGCCAAGCACAACTGGACATGGTCTACGTTGGAAGGGAACAAACCCAGGAAAAAAAGCAAACAAAACAAACACACACACAAATATTTCATCCCAAAACACTACACAGCCCAAGCACCTCAGTGTCTAAGGCCCTGTTTACATTACAATACGTTGAAACTGCAACTCCCTCCCTCCACTGTCACCCAATACATATGCAATTTTAGCCACATTTAATGTAAGACCTTTCCTGTAAGACCTTAAACAAAATCAGAAAACCAGAAACATAATGAGATTTATTGTGGTCTGTCTTCTGATTTATAAGCCATTTGGTGTGTCTGACATCGGGCCCAAAACTCACAAAAATAGCACAGGAGGGAATGATTACAACTGACCCAAATTCACTCTGAAGAAAATCCACTACCATCAACTTCATTACATCAGGGATGAACCTGGCCTTTTGCTTTAAATGTCCTCTTTCCAGCTTTACAGCGCTTCAACTTTCTCACTCGGTGTGTGAAAAAACACCCCCCTGAGCACAGCAAGTTACAGCGCTATAAAGCGCCAGTGTAAACTAATCCCCGTGTGGAGGTGGAGTACCTGCAGCGACCACACTCGCAGCGCTTTGGAGTTTCGAGTGTAGCCATGCCCTCAGAGAGGAAAAAGATGGTGCAATGGGGAGAGAAATAAGGAATAAAGAACATAATGTTGGTGAAACTAAGGACACCACACTAGTCCAAGAACATCAAGCCTTGACAACAAAATCTGGCCATTCCATTGCCCAGTTAAAACAACTGTCCCTAGCCACAAGCACGTGGGAAAACATATCAGATGCAGTATTGATTATGCTGTACAAGAAGAAAGGCTGTATGAGATGATTACCATATAGATGGCCTCATTGATGACTACGTCCTTCACCTGGCTCATTTCAATGAAGGTTGTATTCTCTTTGCCTGAAGCATAGGATGAGGTCATCTGGATGCCAAGTGAGCCAATGACTAACAGGGACTCCTGGTCAATTTTCACAAAGTGCAGGTACACGATCAAGCCAATCAGAGTGATAAATATAGCAGCTGAGAGCACCATGCTGTTCTGTAAAGAAAACCAAGCAGACATTTAGGCTCCAATCCTGCAATTAACTGCATGTGAGTATCAGCATAGGGCTATGTACAATAAATTGTAGGTTCATCCATGAAAGTTTGACAAATGCCATCTTGCTTGACACACTGTGGACTAACCTCTAGATCAGGAAGCATGGGTCTCTACACCTTGAACTTAATTAAGTGCCAAGCTCTGTGGTTGAGCACTGTAACAGACCGATATCCTCAGTGGATCAGGCCTGGAGGGGGACCTATAGCTGACCAGTGGGTTCTACTAACTCTGCCCCAAAACACCAAGTTACATCATACAAGACAGCCTGTCATATAAATGCAGATTATGATGCAGTTGCACTTACAAAGGTAGACAGGTATTACCCCTTTTTTATAGATGGTGAATCAGAGGCCCAGAGTGATTAGAGAGTAAGGGTAGTCTTGTTCTTCAAGCACCGCATTGGGAATCAGAAGATCTGAGTTCACATTCTAGTTCTGCCACCAATTTAACATGTGACTTTGATTAATCTTAATTTCTCTGCCTTAGTACCCTGATCTGTACAATGGTAGTAATACTCATCCCTTTCTTCGATACTTTGTCTTGCATATTTAGACTGTAAGCTTTCTGGAAACGGAACTGTGTTTTGCTAGGTGTTTGTATGGTGCCCTGATCTTGGAACCTTTTGGTATTACTACAAGATAAATAATAAGTGCTAAATCACTGATTAGACTAAACTCAAGCAGCAAGTCATTTGAAGAGCTGTGAATAGAATCCGGGTGTCCTGACTCACGATCTAGTGCCCTATCCCCGGGACCAATTTTAGAGAGAACATTGCTGGGCATAGGAAATATTAATTCTATCACTAACGGACCAAAACTCTGTTGTTCTAACTCATTCCATGCCACTTCCCAAACTGAATAATCCTTAGTGGCTGTCTTGAAGGAGGAATGATGCTGGATTGCTCACTAGCACTGTTACAGGAGAAAGGGGTCTTGCGCTGCACTAAGAGGGAGGTGAGATTGAGGCTCAGCTTCTTTGGGTAATGGAAGAATTTCAACCAATGGTGTACAGCTTGGATCAGTGTTCTTCACAGCTTGTATAATCAAATAGGAAGGCACTGGGGGCAATTGCTGACTGAGATGAATGCCTTCTTATAGGAATTTAGGATACAATTCCCCCCCACTAACAAGTGGCAGTTTATTGAGCAAGGATTTAACAATCTTCTGACATTGACAACCTTGCCAATTACCTCCGTGGTCTCTTATCTTTGCTTTCTGGGAAAGGTCACTGAGAAGGTCATAGTGTGGCAATGCTAGTGTTAACTGTAGTCCTCAGACTTTCTTGATCCTTTTCAGTCCATCTTTTGGCCTCAGTATACACTATAGAGATTGCACTGGTCTCATTGGTTGTTCACAATCTCCTAGTAATGCTAAAGGTCAGATGTTTATGCCCATTCTTTTAGATCTGTCAACAGTCTTTAAAATCTTTGCCCACAAGGTCTTGTTGACACATGACCATGAGTATGTAGATGGTATTGCTAGTGGCGTGCCCTTCTTTCCTGTCAGAAAAATTTGAGAGAATTATTCTCAGTGATCACTTGTCTGCCCCCAAGAAATATCTCCTGTGGGTTTCCAGACACTCATCTCTCCTGTTCTGTGTATATGATCCGGCACCCATGAATAGGCTAGACACCGCTCCATATACATAAAAAGATGTGATCCCTGCCCTGACCTGCCCTGAAGGAGCTTACAAACTAACTGAGGCGTCTGGAAAGATAATGAGATCAGAATGTGGCTGTCATGCAACTCTGACTCATTTTCATCAAATGAAGATGACAGAGCATCTTTGCTTTCCCAGAGCCTGACTGAGCCCAAGACTTGGGCTGTGAACTGGCAGAAGTTCAGCTCAAGCAGAATTGCAGTAATGCTCTACATGGGGCTACCCCTAAATATCACTTAACAGCAACATCAGTCAGTTTTCCTGAATAGTGATATATTACATCCATTTGCTAGGAACTGGCTTTCTATTCACTTTGCCCTGTATTATCAGGGTCTCAGCTACATGGTGCATCATCTCGCTCTCCATAAGCCATCATAGCAGTTGAAGTCAGGTGGAGTGAGTGTTCATGCTCACTAGCACCTAGATTTCTACATCTGGGGCCTAGATGTACTCAGACCAAAGCCCTTAATCAGCTCCCCCAGTAAATTCAGCAGAACCCAAGTATGTTGCCTTTTAGGACACGTTTTTCACAGGATCATAGAGTTTAAGGCCAGAAGAGACTATTAGATCATATAGTCTGACCTCCTGTATATCACAGACCATAGAGTTTCACCCACTTACCCCTATACTAGGGCTGTCAAGCAATTAAAAAAATTAATCGCGATTAATTGCACTGTTAAACAATAATAGAATACCATTTATTTAAATATTTGTTGATGTTTTCTACATTTTCAAATATATTGATTTCAATTACAACACAAAATACAAAGTGTACCGTGCTCACTTTAGATTTATTTTTGATTACAAGTGTTTGCACTGTAAAAAAATAAATAAATAATATTTTTCAATTCACCTAATACAAGTACTATAATGCAAATCTCTTTATCATGAAAGTTGAACTTACAAATGTAGAATTATGTACAAAAATACCGCATTCAAAAATAAAACAATGTACAATTGTAGAGCTTGCAAGTACACTCAGTCCTACTTCTTGTTCAGCCAATCGCTCAGACAAACAAGTTTGTTTACATTTGCAGGAGATAATGCTGCCCTCTTCTGGTTTACGACGTCACCTGAAAGTGAGAACGGGTGTTCTCATGGCACAGTTGTAGCCAGGGTTGCAAGATATTTACATGATTACAGATGTGCATGCTTCAACCACTATTCCAGGGGACATGTGTCCATGTTGATGATGGGTTCTGCTTGAAAACCATCCAAAGCAGTGCGGATCGACTCATGTTCATTTTCATTATTTGAGTCAGATGCCACCAGCAGAAGGTTGATTTTCTTTTTTGGTGGTTTGGGTTCTATGGTTTCCACATCAGAGTTATGCTCTTTTAAGACTTCTGAAAGCATGCGCCACACCTCGTCCATCTCAGATTTTGGAAGGCACTTCAGATTCTTAAATCTTGGGTTGAGTCCTGTAGTTATCTTTAGAAATTTCACATTGGTCCCTTCTTTGCATTTTGTCAAATCTGCTGTGAAAGTGTTCTTAAAATGAACACCACGTTCTCGGTCATCACCCGAGACTGCTATAAGATGAAATATATGGCAGAATGTGGGTAAAACAGAGCAGGGAACATACAATTCTCCCACAAGGAGTTCAGTCACAAATTTAGTTAACGCATTATTTTTTTAACGAGCATCAGCATGTCCTATGGAATGGTGACTGAAGCATGAAGGGGCATACAAATGTTTAGCATATCTGCACGTAAATACCTTGCAATGCTGGCTACAAAAGTGCCATGCAAATGCCTGTTCTCACTTTGTGGTGACATTGTAAATAAGAAGAGGGCAGCATTATCTCCTGTAAATGTAAACAAAGTTGTATGTCTGAGCGATTGGCTGAACAAGAAGAAGGACTGAGTAGACTTGTAGCCTCTGAAGTTTTACATTGTTTTGTTTTTGAGTGCAATTATGTAACAAAAAAAATCTACATTTGTAAGTTGCACTTTCAGGACAAAGAGATTGTACTACAGTACTTGTATGAGGTGAATTGAAAAATACTATTTCTTCTATCATTTTTACAGTGCAAATATTTTTATTCAAGATATACACTTTGATTTCAATTCCAACACAGAATACAAGATATACATGAAAATGTAGAAAAACATCCAAAATATTTAATAAATTTCAATTGGTAGTCTCTTGTTTAACAGTGTGATTAAAACCGTGATTAATCCTGATTAATTTTTTAATCACAATTAATTTTGTCAAGTTAATCAAATGAGTTAACCCCAATTAATTGACAGCCCTACCCTATACTGAATCTAACAACTTCAGTTTCACTAAAGCATAGCTTTCAGAAAGGCATCCAGAAAGTTTTGATTTGAAGACATCAAGATATAGAGAATCTGCCACTTCCCTGCTCATTTCTTCCAACTCACCCTCAATGTTAAATTTGTGCTTTATTTCTAACTTGAATTTGTCTGGCTTTAACTTTCAGCCACTGGTTCCTGTTATGCCTTTCTCGGCTAAGGGTATGTCTACACTACGGGATTAATCCGAATTTATATAATTCAAATTTGGAAAACAGATTGTATAAAGTCAAATGTATGCAACCACACTAAGCACATTAATTCGGCGGTGTGCGTCCATGTACCGGGGCTAGCGTCGATTTCCGGAGCGTTGCACTGTGGGTAGCTATCCCATAGCTATCCCATAGTTCCCGCAGTCTCCTCCGCCCATTGGAATTCTGGGTTGAGATCCCAATGCCTGATGGGGCCAAAAACATTGTAGCGGGTGGTTCTGGGTATATCCTCCCCCCTCTCCAGGAAGCAACGGCAGACAACCATTTCGCGCCTTTTTCCTGGGTGAACAGTGCAGACGCCATACCACGGCAAGCATGGAGCCCGCTCAGCTCAAGACAGCAGTCATGAACATTGTAAATACCTCGCGCCTTATCGTGCAGTTTATGCTGAACAAGAACCTGGAAAACCAGGTGGCGAGGAGCAGGCTACGGCAGCGCGGCGGCGAGAGTGATGAGGACATGGACATGGAATTCTATCGAACCAGGGGACCCTGGTGCTTTGGAGACCAT